AAATGGTGTTCTAAAGTCAGCTGGGGATCCAGGAGGACTCCCAAATTGCAAACCCTCTCTGAGGGGTGTATAATTTCAAGATTGAGTTACCTTGCACTTAAATCCCAAAGGTGCTTTTTATCTGCATCTTCAGGGTCACCGCAGTGATGCTCCTGGTTCCTGTAGTCTGCAATTCTTCCTCTGGAAATCCATCCCTCTTCCCATGCCATTCCAAGGGTGTTCATCCCAAATTGTGTAGCTCAAAGTCTGTAGAGATTCTCAGTCTATCCAGGTCACGGTTGTCCCAAAGGAGCTTTTTCAAGAGGCAACTGGACTTTCGTGGGTTTTTTCCCTTTTGAAGACATTTCGCTTCTCATCCAAGAAGCTTCCTCAGCTAAAGATAAACCTCCAAGGGCTTCAATGACCTTCCAAAAGGGTGCAAATGACCAGCTGTCTGCAAGGAAGATCAATCCTTCCATTCTCCACTACCATCCAGTCAGAACTGAGGAAACTTCTTGGATGAGAAGCTAAACATCTTCAAAAGAAAAAAAAAACAAGGAAGTCCAGCTGCCTCCTGAAAAATTCGTGACCTGTTAAATGCGCACCCGACAAAAGCACACCAACAAAACCACGGCGAGAAAACAGCGAGGATGAAATCATGCCCACAGAAGCGCGCCAATAAATGCGCGCCGACGAAAGCGCAATTAGGGTTAAGGTTAGGGTATTACGTTGTTTTCACATTGTTTGTTGATGGCACGCTTTCGTTGTCGCGCATTTCTCGGCGTGCTTCTGTGGGTGCGATTTCGTCCTCGCTGTTTTCTCGCCGTGATTTTGTCGGCGCGCTTCTGTCGAGCGCGCATTTGTCAGTGAACCAAAAAAATCACCTCTGGGATAACCAGGACCTGGACGACTGAGAATCTTTAATGACTTGCACTGAAATCACCTCACACTTATTTCTTTTTATTTTATTTTATAGTTTTACACCCGAAATTATAGGCTGCTTTAATCTAGAGAGCCTCAGGGCAATTTATGTTTCCTTCTGGAAGCAAATGCCACAACGAAACCAACAGCTAAATGAACACTAGCAAAAACAACAGTAAAGAAAAATTGCGAAGAGGGTCATGGCCCAGCAGGAGGCACTGTTACGCAGTATCATTACTCTACCGCCTAAAATTTCCAACCTGTGCTCAGACTAAGCACCGTTTTTGAATCTGTATCATGTTGTCGTATTTGCTTTTTTAAATTCCTTGCTGGAAAGAACAAATGTGGAGCTCAAAAGAGAGAATGAATGGAGCTAAGGGGCCCTGGGAACAAACTCTATATAGGTTTGGAAGACCTGCGACTGGTGTAGAAGAAACTCGATGCATTGAGGGGATCTTTGCAGTTCAGGGGAAGAGGTGGAAGTGACGGATTGCAATCTCTGAGCTCAAATGCTACATCTTAATCTAGAATCTAGATCAAGTGCCGGCGGATGAGTGGGAAAGGAGAACGAGAACTTGTGATGTCTTTTTAAGATGTGGTTGAAACTGAATTCTACCTAAAGGTTCAGGGTTGTGGTAACAAGTTAAATCTTCATATCCTTTAAACAAAAAANTCCATCCATCCATCCATCCATCCATCCATCCATCCATCATCTATCTAATCTATCTATCTATCATATCCTATCTAATTTTATCCACTTTATTATTATTTTTAAATAACTGGAAGTTGCTAACACACAACTACGCCTTCTCCCGCCGCCTTGGCATTTCTCCCACAAACCTGTGAGGTGAGTTGGGCTGAGAACTTTCTTGCCTAATAAAGTATCCTAGCTTCTAGTCTGGTGCCTAGACCGAACAAGTTCTTGGACTTCAGCAAAGCCTTTGACATGGTGCTTTCTAATGCTGTTTCATAAAATATGGAATCGATGATACTATTGAGATGGGACTCACGTATTGACTAAATTACTAAACTCTAAAAGCATATATTAATGACTCTATTTAAGCAGCAGTGGAATTGCTGAATGGAGTGCCATTGGGCTATCCTGTCCTCAGCTATTCAACATTTTATCAATCACCCGGAGTTAAGGGAATACTTCAGTGGTGGGTTCCGGATTCTGTTCCAACCGGTACAGTTGGAATGGCCCCAGCGTCACCCACATGCATGCGCATGCTGCTTGCGCACACACGCACAGTGCATGCGTGTGTTGTACTTGCCTGCAATGCTTCTGCAAGCCTCCGCAATGCTCCAGCTGCTCGGCGGAGCGTCGTGCAAGCGCCATATGCACCCTGCGCGTAAGCGCCAAAAGCTTAAAGCACAGGTAAGGAGCAAGGGCGGGTGGGTAACCGTCCAGAGCACCATACCAGAATGGTATCCGGTGCTCCGGGCTGGCTCTGGTACACCCGTACTGGGGCGTACCACCTGCAACCCACCACTGGAATACTTATAAAGTCTGCAGATGACACAAAATTGGGAGGAGTGGTGGAAATTTTAAAAGATCTAAACCGTTTTGAACAGTGAGCTGATAGGAATAGGGTGGAAGATATATAAAAGAAAAATGGGTATGAGAAATGTAAGGTACAAATGTAGGAAGGAGTTTGGTAGTCATGTATTATGAAGGGGATCTGAGGATCCTTGTTGACTAGAAATTAAAATTAGCCAGAAGTTTGATGCAGATGTTAAAATGATAACTGCTGCATTAGCAGAAACATAAGAGCCCAGTTTGCTGGAAGAAATTGTATTGTGCTTAGTTCCAGCCTCCAGAAATTGTGTCTGATCCTGAGCAACAGGCTTCAATCAGACAAAAAACTGGAGAAAATTCAGAGGGGAATTGTCCAGATGGAGAAAGGTCTGGAAACTAAGCCAGAGGAAGAGCAAAGGAGTTGGATGTTTTTTAACCTACAGAAAAATGTCCAAAGAGAGATATGATCCCTGCCCCATTTCTGTTGGAAGCACCATTTATGGCACTTCTAGGTTGAAAGGATTAGCCGGTGACAAGGAAGATATGATTACAATCTTCAAATATTTTAAGTGTCACATAGAAGGAGGAGTGGACTTTATTGACTTAGAGGGTAGAACTAAAACAAACAAAGTACAAGGAAAAGATGTTCATAGTTGGATATCAGGAGGAGCATCTTGATAATACAAGCTGTCAGCCAGTGGAAGAGGCTGCTCCATGACATAGTGAGTTCTCTTTTATTAGAAGTCTTCAGAGAAATAATCATCTTGTACACAATTTGCAAAAATCTTCTGTAGAGAACCCTGCACTGAGTATGTGAATGCATGTGTCTGCAAACATTTGTGGACTAGATGAAATATTTGGCTTCTCCCATCTCTGATTCTAAGCGTATAAATATGAAAGCACGATAAGTATTTGCAAGATTGCATTTAAGTTATGGACCATAATCTTATTAGCCAAATCAACAGATTGTAAGATTGAAATTTCTCTATTATGACATCCAGGGCAATATGCACATTCTAGATAAAATTACACTCTTTTTGTTTGGCCTTTATCAATCATTCATGAAAGCCACAAGAAAAACCGATTCTATTCCTTTAATACATTTCAAAGCAATTGTATATCTTTAAATATTAAAATTTGCAGATCCATTTGAAATTCACCCTGATTTTATCAGTAGGTTTTCAGTGACAAAACAGCCTTTTAATTAACAGCTGTTAATTTATTAGTAAGATATTCACTGACAAAGTTTTGAAAGATAACTTACTTATACAAGGAATTAAAAAAAGGTTACAAATCACAAGGCTTTTTAAAAAGTACATTTTCCCTAATTGTTCTGAACTATTGAAGTATTTTCAAAGTCTCCTTGTTTTTTCAAGCTATTCTGCAACGTCTTTTGCAGTCTTGCTATGTTGGCATCCAATGCTGCTAATCCATTTTTGAAGTCTTCTTCGTCTCTGGATGTGAACGTTGAAAAGGAAGATATAGTCCACTCAGATTTTCCTGACATACAGTCAAGAGTTGAAAAACTGGAGTCAGCAGCAGAAATTCCAGGGTTCTTTTGCCCATTTCCTTTTTGAGCATAACAGTGTTTATCAGGCTGAAGTCTGTCTGGATTGTTCAAAATCACATTAGCAGACCCATTAGTTCTTTCTTTTGACTGCATTTGGAGTCTCTCGCTTTCCAGTTTCTCTATCTTCCCCAGAGTTTCAGATTTATTTTCAACAGTCATTTTTCGACCAAAGCTACCATAGAATTTATCACCGGTCTTAGTGCTGCTCAGCATCCCAGCCTTGCTTGGCTGCTTAGAGTCATACTCCAGTTTGTGGGGAATCGAGTTCTGGTGTATGACTGTTTTCGTTTCAGATGCTGTGACTGGTTTTTGAGATGGACTGCTACTCAGTGGAATGTAAATAGTCTCATCCAGCTCATGACTCCCTAAAGTGCTTAAGCAGCTGGCTGCTTCTGCATCAAGCTTTTGGAAGACAGGAAGATTTCTTGAAGTCACAGTTTCCTCCGCTACCATCTGACTCTCTTGGGCAGGATGCTCATCTGCCCTCAAATCCAATACTTCCTTGGGCTCCTTCATCCCACCCTCATTTAAGAGGGGTTCCATGTTGGTCAGAACAGGATCCATTTCTAATTTCTTTAGATAGTTTATTATGGAATCACTTAGAGGGTATGCATTAGGCTCCAACTGTTTTTGGTGAATTTCCAAGAGAGCTTTCGACAGACTGCTGACTTGTCTGGGCTTCACCATATCCCCAGTGAGGTCTGACAGTAGTTTGGACATACTCCCTTGAAGAGCCCTGTAAAGCACATGATGTCAAAATGAGACAAAGGTGTAAGGGCTTGTACATATCTGAAAATCCAAAGCACTACTAATTGGGCTCATTTCTGAATAGATATCTATTCCAATCAGGGTATGATCTAATCAATATTTGAAGCATCAGGGCATCTAACTTGAAGTACTGTACATTCCACTGAGGAGAATGGGAAACCATTTTACAGCCAGAGCTTCCCTTTTATTTCTATTTTTCTCCATCTCTAAGGGCTGGAGAAAATGTATTCAGAGATGCCCAGATGGTAGTAGTAGTGGTTCTCAAGCATTGTTTTGCTGCTTCATGGTACTGTAGTGCAAGAAGTAGAATTTTAACAAAAATATGTTGCACCTTTTTGGAGCTAAAGCACATGGGAGAATTTTCAGCTAATAATTTGTGGTTTTCCTGTTGGCCTGGCACTCTAGCGGCAAACACATCAGGTAAAGGATTTACTGTATACTACTCACAATTCCCCATCTTTCTCATAGAACGGTAAATCATATATATTAGTCTATATATTTAATTTATTTTTTGATTTTGCCTCTCCTGTAGGAGCTCCTTATCTAACATCTTAACACCACACCATCCTTAGAGAATTACCTATGCTAATTTTCAAGACAACAAAATAAGGTTGAAATTTAAGGTGGACCATGACTAGAAACAAGTTCATAAATTAGTTTATAAACCCCAATTAGGAAGACATGAAATGTTTCTGTTTTATAAAAAAGTAAACACAATATAATATGATTCTTTAATCATATTTGATTATGATTATGTCACTATCAGACATAATTAAAGCCATCTTCCGTTTAATGCATACCTTCCCTCATCCTTTCTACTAGTCCCCTTTAGAATTGCTAATATTGTAACCTTTAGAATAGGCTTCATTAATATATCCCCAACGTTCAAGTCAAAATAAAGAACTGTATGCAGGATCACTTCCAGAGAGGATTTTCCATCTAACTGGGGCTACAATGTGCATTGTGGGAGCCTTGGAGTATTCTAACACCACTTGACAGCATTAATTAATATACCTGTATTGGAAATAAAATAGGGAACTAAAATCCACAACATAACTTAATAGTATTAATATACACTATTATTACAAAAGTTTTCTCTTTTTCTCAATAAATCAGGTTTCAATTTTCTGCATGAGTCACTGCCACCACCTTGTGGCTGACTATTATATTGATAATTCATTTATTAGTAAAATAAATAATATTTCCGATCCTCCACCAATAATTCTGAGATATTGTCCAAATGTTTAGAATGTGAAATAAAGAAATCAATTATTATTCCATTTAGTAGCTTTTCCTTCCCCCAATCTAAATTTATTGAGGTTTTCATTTTTTTTTTTTTTAAAGATGCATTTCTCAATTTATTGTTCTAAATCTATGGGGCAGTGTACAATTTTGCTAAGTGGATTTGAAACACTAAGAGAAATAAACAAGGTTAACAGTACCAGGTCAATTCACGCAGTCTATTCACTTCTGCATCTCGCTGACGCAATGTTATGCCCAAAATCTGGTTTTCTTTCTCAGGAAATATTGAAAAGGCAGAATATTTCTCTGGATGTGAAAAGAAACATGTTTTAAAAG